CTAACAGGGTTACGGAAAATTTAGGTAACTAGGTCAGGTTTCTCGGGTCAGATTAGTGTAATTGGTTCAGTTTAGGGTCATGCGGTTCGTGGTTAGTTGAGTAATTAGGTGGAAGAAGGTTGTGGTTTGTGGGATTATGTTAATTAGATGTTCCTGGCAGGAATAATTATATTCATCTAGTGGAAGTTTGAGTAATAAACTATGCCGTTGCTTAATAATATTTGTAACCGCCTGCCAATTTAAGCATAAGCATGTTGTTTGTGTTTGTATGTGTGTGTGTTTGTGTGTGTATGTGGTGTGTGCGTGTGTGCGTGTTCTCTTTGGCGATGAATGTGGATGCTTATTTACCTCTTAGCATTAAGCAGCTATCGATTTTTTTTTAATTTTTTTCTACAAACCTGCTGGGAGCATTTTTATTTTTCGCAGTGTTTTTTTTTTATGTTTCTTCACGTCGTCTTTGTATTTGTTGTCGTTTGTGTTCTCCGCTTCGTGGTTTGTTTGTTTGTATGTTTCTTTCTTTCTTTCTTTCTTTACCCTCGCCATGGTTATGTATTCTGATGACGACCTAATGATAACGACTACGTTGATGATGACAACCGGATGATGTTGTGTGCTGCGTGTTGCAAGCCTCTGTTCACTTCACAGTGTACGTACCGAGCGTAATGATCGATATAGAAGAATAGAGCGCGGAAGATTTATGCATGTGTGGGGCAGGCAATGAAAAAAATTCCATTCTATTAATTTATATTTTTAATTGAAATTTCATTTTTAATTTAATTATTTTTATTTTTTGATTGAAATTTTCTCACACGCACGCACACACACACGTACACACACACACACACACACGTACACACACCAACCGACATGCAGTTGTTTATTACGGATCATAGATACGTTCGGAACAGAGGCTCCTTACAACAGTTTAACGTATTCGAAGAAGTTTAAAAATTTGAAAACCGCTTGGGGCGGTCAAGAGTTGGATCTCAGGCAGTTTTATACCATGTTTCGTTAGTAAGCTTGTCTGTTTGTGTGTATGTATTTGTGTATGTGTGTGTGTTTTGTGTACGTGTTTTGTGTATGTGTGTGTGTGTGTGTGTGTGTGTGTGTGTGTGTGTGATTGTAAATGTGTTATTTATTTATTCGTGTATTCATTCATTCATTCTTTGTTCAATCGTACATTTATCTATTCTTTCTTTCATTTACACACACATACATGCACACATACACGCACACACACACGCACGCACACACACAGCACACTCTCCAGACAATTCTTTCATGGGATTCGTCGTTGAGCAGCACTTGAACACGACTGAGTCCCGATCGATCGAACGAAAACAACAGGCCCTTGTCTACGGCAAATCATTGTATATGTGGAGTGTATGTATTTGTCGTCGTGTTTTGTATGTGTTTTGTATGTGTTTTGTATGTGTTTTGTATGTTTTGTAAGTGTTTT